AGTTGGGTAATTTTGCTTGTTGTGGTTTTTAAAGTGTGTGTATAGCTGGATGATAATAAATGTCGAAGAGTAAGGAGGGATGAAATCCTAATATTGTTTCTTCACTTGTATCCATCTCCCACTTACTGTAATGACTTCCATATGTGGATAAACATGATTCATAGCTGGTGTTTTTAAGTTAAAATGTATAGATTGTAGCTCTCTAGTATGCTACACTATTTTCACTGTTCAGAGATTTCCTGTTAAACCAGGTTGCCCTTGAGTGCTGCAGCCTCCTGAAATGCAGGGTAAGATGAAGCAGAACTAATTAATCAATGCTGGGTTTCTCATGGGTGGCCACACCACTGCTTCTGAAAGCCTTTGCAATTCCCTCATGCTATCTCTTCTGCCTTTCACCTCCTTTCTTCTTCCTACACACTGACTTGGCCAGTTTCTGTCAGAGGTTTGGAATGGGAGATTTCTTCCATTTCCTTATCATGTACTAAGTTCTATTTACAATTGTCCCAAGAACGCAAACATGAAATCAACTGAAGGAAAGGGTTTCACAATTGTCCTGACGACTTTGGTAACATAGCAGGCCATCAACCAACAATATGTTTTGAGAGTCTCTTTTGAGAGCTGCACTGTAGCAGATGCTTGAGAGCTATAGAAATATAACACTATTTATTTGTTCCCTACTTAATGAAGACTTATTGCATATCTGTAATGTGCTATGCAGCAGATAGTGTTGGGGCTGCAAAACCCAACCCACTAAAGTAAGGAGTATGAAGAAGAAAGAAGAGAAGGAAGTCAGAACACTTGTATTCTCTGGTATGAGGTAATACCTGTCCACACCGAGAGCTCATTAATGCTTAGGTTCCCTCTGTATGGCCACCTGGAATGCTGTTCTCCCAGATGGCCTGGTGGCCAACTCCCTTACCTTCTTCAAATTCTTCTGCTTCTTTCAGATGTCACCTTCTCAACAAAACCTCCCTAACTTTTATGGTTGAACTTTGTTCACTCTCTATTCTACCCATCTGTATATTGAAGTTTAACTCCCAATATATGTAACAATATTAGGAAGTGGGGCCCTTAATGGGTTAAGTCATGAGGGTGGAGCTTCATGAATGGGATGAGTGCCCTTTATGAAAGTGACCCCCAGAGAGCTCTGTCCAGCTTCAGCTATGTAAGGATACAGTGAAAAAAGAGTTGTCTATGAAACAGGAAGCAGGGTCTCACCGGACACTAAATCTGCTTGCATCTTCATCTTGGGCTTCCCAGCTTCTAGAAGAGTGAGAAATAAATTTCTCTTGTTTAGATACCACACAGTTTATGATTTTCTGTTATAGCAGCTCTGAATGAACTAAGATACTAACTATACTGTTGAAAATTGCATCATCTCACTCCCTTACTACATTCCCTGCCTGGCACTCTCAAATCCTCTTTAACCTAAGTTTTTATTCATTTATAGCATGTATCCTTTTCCAAGAAATTATATAACACAGTTATGTATCGTACATAGTATGTTTGTCTCCCCTTTATTAAACTATATATTCTTGTCTGTTTTATTCATTGATGTATCTTCAGTGCAGACAATAGTGTCTGGCAGATGGTAGGTGCTTAATAAATACGTGTTGAATAAACACATGACATGGGCACATATTCCTAGTAAAATTTCTTTTGTATACCTTTAGAAGCATCATTATATTGAAATTGATAAATAATTTACCTATCAACATCTGTTGTTTGGTGCTTGTTCCTTTTGTTTCCTGGCTTTTGAGTGGCAGAGAGAGAATCCCTAAGGTAGTAATTTTATTGCTAATGGAAATGCTAAATTCGTCTCTAAATGGCAGGTGTGTACTCTTACTGGAAGTGTATGGTTCAGACTTCAGGTGCTGAAGGTGAGGATGAAGGGGAAAGCAAGAGTTGCAGTGGAAATTGGGTGGATCAGCTTTAGACATGTGCAGGCCATAGAAAGCTCATTCATGGCAGGGTGCCCCTTGGGTAGAAACACAATGTTGGCGAGAAGAGGAGCCCATGGATCATGGGGAGTTGAGGTGAAACAGGAGGCAGGGGCTGGATTCTGAGAAACTGGAAAGTCAGACAGAGGAGTTTTGTGAGGAGCATGAGGAGACAGATGTGGCCCAATGAAAGCTTGTCTTGGAAAAGCCACATGACTGCTAAACCTAGATTGCATTGCAAAGTGGAGGCAGATAAAGCCAGAGAAACGTGGTTCAGAGTTGTCTCCACAGCTAACGAAAGTCTGGACAAGGTGATACTAAGGGGAATCTGAAAGGGATTTTATAAGAAGTGACATGTTTTCCCCAATTTCTAGTATGAAAAATTTCAAACACATAGAAATATGTAAAGAATAGACTATTATTCAGAAAGAAAAGGAAAAATACTGGATGGTCTCACTCATAGCAGGAATTTAGAAAACCTAAATAAGAGACCAGGAAAAAGACTAATCAATACAAAGTGAAAATCAAAATCAACAAGCAACTATAAACCAGAGACACACGGGCGGGGGCAGGGGGGGTGCGTGAGGGGTGGGGAGAGGAAGGACTAGAGTCAAAATAAGGGGGGGGGTGCAATTGTATGAGGAATATAGCCAAAATGAAAATGCATACATTGTGCAAAGATGAAAAAAGATGTAAGAATTATATAAAATAAAATATTTAAATAAAAAAATAGACTATTATACTATACATGCATAGATAACCTAAATTCAGCAACTAAAACAAAAGAATTAGGACTTTTTAAATTGAAATAACATTGTTTTTATGACATTATAGAGATTTTAGGTGTGAGGCATTATATTTCAGCATCCATATATGTGGCTTTATAACTACCAGCAGCCTAGTTTCCACCCACCAAAGTGTGTGTGTGTGTGTGTGTGTGTGTGTATGTAAGTATGTGTGTGTGTATCCTAGATTCAGTAACTGAAACAACAGAATTTTAATTTTTGCTTCACTTACCAAGAACCTACAAATGATGAACTATAGTAGGTACATTATATGTACAGAATAATATTTTTCCAATTGTTGGACTAAGACCTCAGTTCAACATTGGATCATGTTTTCTCATTATAATTTCAATTGAGTCAAGAATACAATACCCTTTTTAGTATACTTAGTCCTTGAATATGATCCTCTATATGAAGTCACAATTCATTAAATTGATGAGAAAGGGAATGTGATGCTGTTTGGCTCAGTGCATCTGTGATTGTAATCTTTGCCAGAAAAATATTTTTTAACTGTTCGTGTTAGCTGGGTTGAGATGAAAAATATTGTTTTGTTCCTCTCTAAAGAAAATAAAAACTGATGTGGTTAATACTTTATGCCAAACATTCTCTGAGGATGAAGGACTTATTCATGCTACACCATTTTAACCTCTCATGTGGAAAAAAAATTAAAAGAGTGAAGTATGAAAGTAAATATGCTGAGGAAAATGATACTCATCAGCTAACGTGTCGCTATTTTTGATTTCCAGGTTTCTTCCTTTCCTAACCCCTGTTTTAGGTTGTTTTTGTTGCTGTTTGACCAAGAGTTACCGTCTATGTTTGTTTGTTTATAGGTCATCACCCTGGTCACTCACTAATACTTTTGTGGGTGATTTGTTAAAATGTTAATTTAGTAGATTTGATCTGTTTCAGTGCCTCTGTTTTAAAACCATAGACACCTCACTCATTAAGGGTCAGCAGTGAGATCATGAGGTCCTTTGGATTCTTTATGAAATGAAACTCCCCTTAGGGGGTTGATCTGCTCTTGAGTTTTGGAGTTTATGATTACCATGTAACAGTGAGATACCTGGCTAGTTAGTTCCCATAATAATTGCCCCCTAAGTGTGTGTATTCTTCATTTTAAGTAGATGGGATAGTGGTGTGGGGTACTACACTGTTTTGGAATAGCTTGTTGGAGTCTCCCAGTTAAGAGAGGTGTTTGGAGCCCTCCCATCAAATATTTAGTCAACTTTGGAGGCGAGATTTTAGAGGAGCATTCTAGCTTAGTTTCTTGATGCTTCTTTGTATACACTTGAGTAGTTCTTTCGGAGAGACGGAAATTGAGACAGACACCTGAAACTGAATGGCTGGTTGAAAGGCAATGGGCATTTCGTAAAGATAGATATTGCCAAATTGCCTCCAAAAAAAAAAAGTGGTCTCATTGTACCTCCAGCATACAGGAATCTATTTCTCCATCTTGGCAATGGACAATTTAAAATTTTCACCATTCTTTTTGTAAAAACCACAGTACCTTACTGTCTATTATAATTTGTTTTCCCATAAGAATTAATGGAGGCTCAGCAACTTTATTAACCTTGTGTCCCTCATCTTTCTTTTCCTCATTAAAATGCCCTTCATGGGCCTCCCAGGTGGTGCAGCGGTTGAGCGCTGGGTTGCGAAGCTGCCCGCAGTCTCTGCAGCGCTGGTTCAATCCCCTGCTGCTCCCCGGCCACCAGAGGAGGGTCCCACATGGCGCGCAGAACTCTCCTGCCACCCGCTTCTCCCCTCAGTAGTGTACTTCGGTCCTTCTGCCTGCTCTGCTCCCCGCTCTGGTGAATTCGCTCACCCTCCTGTGCTTCTGACTGTACCCAGAGCTTGTATAAATAAGTAAATAAATCTTTTTAAAAAATTAAAAAAAAATGCCCTTCAATGTTTCTTTTAACAAATATGCGAATGTGTAATGACAAAGATGTGTGTTGAGAGGTTGAATTGAAGAGCCTTCCATTTAAGAGCTGGCTGCTCTTACCAGGGGTTGTGTGTATGTGAAGAGTCTAGACTGCCGTAGGCCAGGGGTCCTGCCACTCATCTAAAATGGTCTGGAAAGGCTATAGTAAATAGTAAATGCGATGACTTTTAATGACATAGTTCTCTCTGACTTTTGAAGCTTTCTCAAGCCAAGTCAAGTTTTACTACTTACTCATATCCCTTTTACAAGGCCTGATTCTAAACTAGATTCAGCTGGTAAACTGAAACTGTATGGGTCCTGTTCATCCCCTTTGTGGTTTTCTTTCATTTGCAGAAACACCAAGGGCATTCTGAGGTCTTCTAGTCATCAAGAGCACATCTAAAGAAGTCCTGCTCTCCTGAGCATTTGATCCTGGCAGTCTGAGGAGTACTGGATTTCATGCCCTTCATCCCTGGCCTTCAAGGTAACCTTTATCCACTTGAACCCATTCCCAACAACCACACAATTCTAGAATCTACCTTAGTTCGCCCGAGCACAGTAGAAGATAGAGAAACCCTTTGCGCCTAGAGGAATCCCTTGGGCTTAGAGGCCAAGGTGGAGTTGCCAGTAACAGCTCCTCTCTCTGTGGTTCCCCTGCTGGGTCTCTCTAGAACAATCTCAGCCTTACTGTTCTCTGCTGGCCACACCCTTGCTTGGCCTCTTCCTCACCTACTCCAGCCCAGCTGTTTATCCCCAGCCTCCTCCCTCCTGTCTCCAACCTAATCCTGCAGCCATCTTTGCCTAACATAAGATTGACTTGGTATGTCTAAGAGGTGTGGGCCCTGCCTGCAATTGAACTAAGCATCCCTACGAAACCCAATAGCTACTCACCTCTATGTGTGCTTTCCTGGCTCTCCACCCCCCAAATGCCCTGATGTTGACCAGATGAATGCTTTAGTATCCAGTCACTGGTATGTTTTCAAATTCCCATCTGCTGTTGTATCCTAAACCTGTTTGTCCGGGTGAGTGATGTCTACCTTACATGGTAAGGTCTTGCGTGAAAGAGAAAGAGATAGATAGAGAGAAAGACATCAGTTCTATGTAGTTTTCTTTATACTGTGCTTACAAGAACCATAAATGCTTAATACATGCTTCTGGGTGGTACAATCAAACAGGAAATTATTTACTTTCTTTAATTATATGTTTTTTGGACTTTCTTGAACTTATCTCAAACTGGGTGGAAGGTGGATAGAATCAAGATGGAATAGTACTAGGCAATTATTTTTTAAAATGTTTTCCAGGGGTCGAATTTCTGATTTTCATATGCATAATTCCTTGGAGGGTCTTATTAGATTCGTAGTTCAGGAAATGTAAATCATATTTACAAAGTCAGATCACATTTAGTCCCAAAATGAGTTGCTGTGCACAGATCTGAGCAACTGTGAGTGAGGTCATATTCTCGGCATCAAGTTATTGCAGTTCTGCTTTAGAGATTTGTCATCCCAAAACAAATAAAACATGAAGGGCGAAGAGTCTTTTCCCATCCCTGTGTCCTCCCAGACTCTCTTAAATTTTTATATGGCCAGGGCACCTTGCCTTATGTCAGATTTTTCTTTTTAAACAGTAACTTTCTATAATTTAAATGTTTAAATGTACACAAACTTTTTTTTTTAAGTGTGACATTTTTGGGGGGAGGTATGTGGGCATGTTTGATTTGAAGATTAGATGAGCGTTTTAGAGGAGGTATATAGGGTTTGAAATTGGAAAATGCAATGGGTTTCTATTTTTTGCCATTTGTTTCAGTTCAGGCAACTTAACCTTTCTAAGCTTCAGGTTTCTCAAAATAAAACTGGTATAGTCACATTTAACATGAAAGTGCAAGAAGACTAATATACTACCTTTCAAAGCATTATGCTCTTTCTGGCAAAACACTACCAGAGGGGGACTGAGTTCTATCCCTGGCCCAAACCAGTGACTGACTTTGTGACCTGGAGATTGTTGGTTTCCCTATTCAAGTTTTAGGGTTGTAAGGTCAGGATTGTCATGCCAGCAAGGATCATGGCTGCCACCCTGAGCAACCCAGAAGAAAAAGTTGCTACCAGAATACAGAGTAGAAAGTGAGGCCTATGTCTAAAGTATTTTCCCTGAGACTGCATGTCACAGCTAAAAAAAAAAAAAAAAAAATGAGCTCAGGACTTCCTGCCTCATGGTCTAGTGCCCTGGCCAGATGTTTGGTTGGGGAGAGAGGAAGTCAAAGGAACCAGCTCCAAGAAACAGTCTGCACTTGCAAGCTGCTGAGTGCCCTGGCATCAAGGGACTTTCCCAATAAAAGGGGTTCTGGTACCAGTTCCAAAGTGAGGGGAGAAGGGGTATCTCCCCATACATCTACCAAGCAATTCTCCACCAGCATGGTAAATGAGAATTCAATTCAATTCAGACACAATAGAGCATCAGATTCCTCAGGTTAAGGGCTCAGACCCACAAGATTGCTTCCCACCATTCCACCCCTTTCAGATGATAACTGCAAACCCAGGTGGTCATCTGAGCTCCCGGTGACTGGTGATCAGAGGTTTCCTCGGGTTCAATTAATTTTTTAGTGCAGCTCACAGAACTCAGAAACATTTTTCTTACTAGATCGTTGGCCTATTATTGATATAAAAGGTGTGTTAAAGAGTGAGGCTCATGAACAGTCATGTAGACTGTTCATGTAGTAGACATGTAGTAGACATGTATAGGGCATGTATAGGGGAATGTATATAGGGCATGTATACATGTAGTAGACATGTATAGGGCAAGTAATGGGGAAGGGACTCGGAGCTTCCATGCCCCCTTCCAGCACACCATTCTCCCCTTATGTCCATGTGTTCACCTAACAGGAGGCTCTCCAAAAACTTGTTCTTTTGGATTTTTAAGGCGGTTTTATTACATAGGTATGACTGATTGAATTACTGGCCATTGGCAATGGATTCAAGCACCAGCCTTCCCCTTCTCCCTCCACATCCCTTTCAAGGGAGGGAACTAAAAGTTTCAATCCTTTAATCCTCAAGTTGGCTCCATTGGCATCCAGCCCCTCCCCGCCTTAGGTGCTTTCCAAAAGTCAACTCATTCATAGAACAAAGACACAAAACAAAAGACTTTGGTAGCTGTTAGCCAGGAACCAAATATATATGAAAAATATGTATTTGACCAAAATATGTGGTCTGAATGACCAAACATGTATTTTTTCTTATAAATCACAATATTGGCAACCACTTAGATGGTTAAAATGGTTTCTTCTTGGCTCCATGCATGAATAACCTTTGGGGAGGGCCAGGGACACTGCGTTCAGGAGCTGCATGTTAGTAGAAGCTCACCAACCTGCACCACTGCTTACCACCCACCCTGTGTGCATTCCCAAGGCCTGGACTTCTGAGCTTGTGCATTAGCACAAAGCAGACAGACTATCTGGAAGGACATCTTTGTGGAGACAGAAAGGTCAGGGCCCTGTTTGAGCCTATTGTGAACAGTGCTGGTTGCAGGGAGGGGAGGTAGGGGAGTTAAAAAAAAGGAGACTGCAGAAATAAAGTAGTCTTTCTTGTTCATTTTAACTTCATTTTTATTTCAAAATTCTTTCCCCACCACTTTTTTAGCTGTCTCTTCCACTCTGCCGCCTCATGTTCTGGCTGTTGACTTTGCTCTGTCTGATCTGTTGTTAGCTTTGCCCTTTGTCTGTTTTCCACTCTTGCAGCATGAATTCTGGCAGGTTTCTTTTCTTTTTCTTTTTTTTTCCTTTTTCCCTCCTGCTGGTCCCTGAAGTTTCCAGAACATACTTTAGAGGTAGCACTGTTCTCAGGAGTTGAGGGAAAAGCACTATTATTTTACAAGAGCATAGTTTTTCTTTCTCTTACAAAACACCGTGTTCCCTAATTTCTCTGTCTCATTGCTCATCTCCTCTTACACTGATTCCTTCCTTTTACCATCTCCCCTTATCGTGAGTTTTTTTTTAGTAACAGCTTTATTGAGATATAATTCACATACCATAAAATGCACCCATTTAAAGTATATGCTTCAGTGGTTTTCAATATATTCAGAGTTGCATATCTATCACCACAATCAATTTGAGATTATTATCATCACCCCAAAAAGAAACCCTGTGCCCATTAGCAGTTACTCCCACCCTCCCTCCCCCAGCCACTGGCACCTACTGTTTTATGGATTTGCCTATGCTGGACATTTCACATAAATGGAATCATCATATAGTATTTGATCTTTTGTTACAGACTTCTCTCTCTGAGCTCCAGTGTTTTCAAGGCTCATCCACTTGTAATCTATATCAGTATCTCATTCCTTTTCATTGCTGATGTCCAGAGATTTCATGTGTCCATGGAACCCAAATGATGTTAGGGGCAAGAGTCAGATATGATTGACAGGAACATGCATCAGACAGAAATGAATGCCAAGTGACAGATTATTGAAATGCAATGTGAACCTTTGCCAAAAATAGTGCTGGAATTATGTTGATGAACATTAAATACATTAGGGAAGAAGACAAAATCTTCAGCATTCAGGAGGGGCTCAGTCCAGAAAATTCTTTCCATGCAAATCTCTCAATGCTTCCATACACCTTCCTCTTGTTTCTTTCTCCCTTTTCCTCTCTAGTCTTCCTGTGGGAAGGAGCAATGTTACCCTGATTGAGATGGGATGCCCACGAGGAGTGCTATTGCCTAGGTATTTCCAGTTCTTGGTCTAGAGGAGGGAAATGTTTTCTTTTCTTTTCTTTTCTTTTCTTTTTTTTTTTTTTAGGGAAATGTTTTCTCTATGGGGAACTCGAAAGTACCCAAATGAGAAAGCATTAGGCAATAGCTAGACTGAATGTTGTTTTCTTTTCTTTTTTTTTTAACATAAAATAGATGTTATCAAGTCAGTAGGAAATGAAAAAGACCTGAGACACCCAGAACTTTGACACCAGCTAGTATTGCAGCCTGATACCGTAACAAGATTAATTAAGAGCCAGCGGGCTCTGGAGCTGGGAGTATATTTTGGTAGGTTATGTTCTGAGAAAATCAAGGAAATGGTGCTTTGGTATCCTTCATGAACCCTGCAGAGGTCAGAAACTGCCTGAGAGACTCCAGAATAGTCCTCATGTTGTAAAGCAGGTTATGAGATTATAACAGAAATAGTTGACCATGTTTAAAGTCAAGAATGATAAGCTATTGGCATTAATTTGAACCAAAAGCTAGGAAGGATATGTGAGCAGGATGGGAAGTTCCCCTCCTGCAAAAAGATCTCAGGAATTATATGAATAGTCACAAAATGAATTAAAGTTAAATATAATGATTAATATGTCTCCAAAACAATATAGAAAAAGAGAAGAAGGTTGTTTTAAAGCTCAGGGAAGTCATCATTAGGTTACGTAAAGGTCGGATTTGAAAGAAAAAAGTCAGAGTATGATTTACCATGCTCCAAGATCAGGTGATACACTGCTGTGAATTCTGAAATTCTGAG